ATGTAATATTGTTACGGTGGACCTATTTTGCGATTTTTGGTTATGAATAGGGCGTTCAAGGGCGAAAGCCTTCTTCCCTTAATAAAGTGACTTAGTACCCCGTAGACCTTCTCTCGTTATAAGGCTGACTGAAAACCGTATATTTCTTATACTTTCCATTGACTTTCCATTCTCACGCCTGGTTGAAATGCAATTTGATAGCTGTAACTAATACCGTCCAGCTCTTTAACCGTCCACACATTTGAAATATTGCACCTAATACGTAATAATAAATCTGCCCAATCACAAGCTGGACTAGAGTATTATCAGCATAGTAGAAAAGCCCAAGGTTACACAACAGTCAGGCAGAAATAGGGTTCTGTTTGCATGCGGGTAGTGTTCCTCCATGTCTGAGCAGTCAGTCCTATTGTCTACTCTGTCTCCGGGAGAGGTAATTATCGCGGCACACGGCCCAATCTACAATGGACCAGGTGCCCTAAAACCGGACAATCCGTTTGTTTTACGGAAGCTTGAAAAACATCAAAAAGAAGCCATAGAAAGAGCGAAGGGCTATGCTCTCGAACAGAGTATAAAGACTGCCTTACTCAAGCAGACACAATGCCAACAAAATCTCATGTCTAACGCTGCGAAGCGAACACAGACTTTAACTCTACTGAATAGGATCTACATAGGATCCATCGCATATGATATAAAAGAGGAGATGATCAAACAGGCCTTTCTCCCTTTTGGCCCCGTTAAGTCAGTAAGCATGAGTTGGGATCCCACCACCCAAAAGCATAAAGGATTTGCTTTTGTTGAGTACGAGTACCCGGAAGCTGCGCAGTTGGCCATCGACCAAATGAATGGGACAAACTTTGGTGGACGTCTGCTCAAAGTTGGCCGCCCAAGCAACTTGCCAAATGCCAACACTTTTATAAACGACCTAGTAGAAGAATTTCAATTACAGCGGCGGATTTATGTCGCAGGCGTACACCTTGACTTGACAGAGCCCGACCTGTCACTTGTTTTTGAAGCGTTTGGGCAAATAACAATGTGCAAACTAGTTCCTGACCCCTTGCATCCTCCTCTACACCGGGGCTTTGGCTACATTGAATTTGAAACCGTTCAATCGGCAAATGACGCTGCCTTGAGCATGAA